TAAATACAGTAAAATAAAAATGCATCTAGCATTTATTAAAGTATATTCCACTCCTTGCCCTAATTTCCCGCCCATAACCACCGTTTTCGTAGGAATCATGCAGGTTATAGGGATTAATGAGTGGGGCTACATAAGCTACTGTTGCCTGGTACGGATATAACTTTTCCATAATTAGGCCTTTTTTCATTTTTATTTCGCATGATTGTAACACTGACTTTCTATTAGAAGTTCCAGTCAATACCACACATGCGGACGATTCCGTTAGCAAACGTTTTTGCAGTCAGTAATACAACTGTGATCGTAAACCACCTTTTTACTATCTTTTAGTACTACAAGAGTACCGGCAACGTGAAGGACGGATCGGCCTTCTTCCTAAGCTACTGTGCTCCAACCAGCGAGCACATGGAATGGCGCAAAATCGTGATCGCCCGCAAGAAGCCGCGACCCTTCTACGTACAGCCGGTGACTTTTGAAAATGCCGACAAGACCATTACGCTGAAAAACTATCCAGGCAGCAATGAGGGCATAATCCAGTCCTTTGTCGACCGCTACTCCAGTCAGCGCAAATTTGGTCCAGCTGCGCTGAAGGCCCTCAAATCTGTTTGGGATCGCGACCAGGCCTACTTCCCACCACCGGCTGCAAAGTAGTGACCCCCCTCCACTGCACTGCACTCTGACCTCCGCCTATCCGGTCGCTTGTTTCGTACCGCTTCAATGTTTTCTAACAGACTCTCTTTTCTGCGTTTTGAATTTCCCTACCTAGGTTTTGTTTTCTGTCTTTTTTTAAAATCTGGTTGCAGGTCGACCGCACCTTTCCCCCCCCCCACCACAGCCGTCGTCGCTGTTTAGTTTGCGGTGTCCTGTATGGTGCGTCAACTTGTTTATCTGATTTGCGCACAACATCCCGCTGCCGTAGCTTTGCTTTCTGTAGAGGTTATGCGCACAAAGGTTGGTACATAACGTCAACCGTAGTAGAAGTATAGTCGGTATCGGTATCATTCATATTCCTAAA